TATATATATATATATATATATATATATATATATATATATATATAATAATAATAATAATAATAATAATAATAATAATAATAATAATAATAATAATAATAATAATAATAATAATAATAATAATAATAATAATAAATAATAATAATAATAATAATAATAATAATATATATATATATATATATATATATATTTTTTTTTTTTTCTTTTATTACTTAAATTGGTAAAAAAGCTTAAATTCAGGAGGTAATTCTTCTTCCGAATACACTCTATCAGCAAAATAGATTCTTCTGATTCTACAATTTGCATGTATTTAAACTCGAATAGTTTCCATATAATTAGTTCCATAAGCTTTATTAGTAAAATCTTACAAATTTAATTATATTTGATTCCATCCTTCATCTAGCCTCATCGGCCTTTATAAAGAATTTCAGTTTAAAAATACATATACATATATATATATATATATATATATTGATAATATATATATATATATTAATTAATGCTCATTTATATATAGTTTTACATACTACACATTAAAGGCTTTACCCTAGTAGTAGATTGGAAATTGGAAGATCTAAAACGTCTTCTTATTCCTTTATCGTCTTGTATTTAAACTTCAAATGTGAAATATTTTTATAGCTTTTTTTTTTTTTTTATATTTTTTTTGGTTTTTGTTTTGTTTTCTAGTTTATTTCTTTTTACATTTTTAACTATTAATATTAAATATTATAATTTTATTCCTAATATATCTTTCGGATCTGCTGGTGATGTTATATAATTTGTGGCGACATTTGTTCCCATTATTTCTATTACACTTGATTATATATCTAAGTCTTATAATCTTTTTATATGTCCGTTCCTGACTATTTATTATTTATTTATTTTAAAAAAAAAAAGAATAACCGCTCATTTCCCAATTTTATAATGGATTTTAACTTTTTTGTTTAATTATTATTTATGTTTTTTATTTTTTTTTTTATATATATAAATTACCCAATAGAATATAAAATTGTTTGATATCCTTGTTCTTATTCTTTTTGGTCTTTTTTATTTATCATTTTTTGTTTTTTATTTATTTATAATAAATTTCTTTTACTTTTTAGAAAATTTATTAAATTATTTATATTATTGTTTCGTTTTTAAAAAGAGTGGTATATATGAAAATATTTATATTTTAATTTTTTAATTATAAAAAAAAAAAAATTAATTTATAATTTTTTTTGATAATATGAATAATAATTTTTAAATAAAACTTAAAAATTATTTTTATAAGATCTCTTTTAAATTAGAGAAAACTAGATAAATAAAAAAAATTATGAAGTAAAAATATTTCATTTAATGATGATTTATTAAATTATAACAAAAAACAAAAAATAAAAAACGAAGAAATATATAAAATTGAAAATATTAAATAAATAATTAACAAAATATATATTAAAAAAAATACTAAAAAATAATACATATATATATATATTTATAAATTAATAAATGAAAATAAAAATTATATATAAACTTAACAAAACAAAATAGTTTTTTTAAAAAAAATAATATATATAACCATTTATCTAAAAATAATATAAATAAATATCTTGAAATAAAAATAATAATAAAATAAATATAAATATAAAATAAATTATATATATATAATTATCAATATAAGTATATATATTATTTATTCATATTTTTTATATTTATTTGTATATATGTATATATATATATATATTAAATATAATAATAAATGCAAAACGAATCAGAAATACTAATATTAACCTGTGAAGAAATTTAAAATCACTCTCAAAAAGTATTTTTAAATTATGGGACAAAACTTTAAACCTCTCTCTCATTAATATTTCGTTTATCCCCATAAACTCCTTAATAAATCATCGAAATACTAAAATTATCCTTACAAAACATACGTATTAAGGATGAAAATCATTACATTAACGAAATCTTTCCCTCAAATAAACTTAGGATTTTACTATAAGATTACCCAGACTTAAAATACGAACTAATGGTAGCAAAAAGAAAAAAAATTCCAACTAAAATTGCAGATATATATTCCGAATAAGTCCGTTTTTTAGGCGGAAAGTGCGAAGGGACCAGAGAAGACGATTTTCAGGCTATTCTACGTCAAGTAAGAGAAGAAAGTGCTTTAGATTTACAAGATTACGAAACCTTTTCGATATATTTAGGTTCTTTAAAAAAAAATTTTTACTGCGGAAGGGTATAATCTCGTCATTCATAAATCCAGAAAGATATATACTGTAAAGTGCACGTATTTTTAGTTCTAAATACAGAAAAAACAAAAACACTGAAAATTAAAAAAGATATATCGGAAATAAAATGGGTATAATTTTCTTATTTCCTAAATTTCCCCGAAAAAAACGCCTATATAGAAAGAATACCTAACCCAATGTAAATAATAGGAGTTTTTCCAAAACTCTTTTAAAAAATAGCGGAAAAAAATGTAAAAGAGCTACATTTTTTACATCTAAATGTAGATTTTGATCAAGGGATGTGGGGTATGAATTGTGCCGGTTTAGTATATTTTATGAGTGTAGTCATAAATGGACTTTAGATGAAATACTAGGATAAAAAATACACTGAAATATAAGAAAACTGGAAAAAAATCTTCAAAAAATATTCATAAACTAAAAGTGTTATTGAAAATAGTTTTATATAAAAAAATATACTTGAATACTATTATAATATATGGAAAAATAATTTCTAATAAATATACAATTAAAGTGAGTAATTTGATAATTCTTTTGTGATTTTTATGTGTTTTTCTGCTATCTTTTTCTCGGCTTTTTCTTATTATTCCATATAAGGGTACAAGCCTTCATTATGAAGCAAAAAGAACTATAATAATAAAAAATTATATTTATTTTTAAATATATATAAAATATATATATATATATATATAATTTATTTATATATATTTTTATTTATAATTTATATATTTTTTTTTTTATATTTTATATATTTTTTGTTTATTTTAATCAATTAATAAAAAAAATGTATTAATAATAATAATAGTAAATATTTAATTCAAATTATTAACTAAACTCCAATTTATAATCTATAAATAATAACTAAATCAATTATCATGAAAATTGTACAGTATTGAATTGTCCTTGTTGTAATGAACATATAACAGGAGAAATAAATTACGATGAAAATAATTATGTAGAAAGAGTTGAAATCAAAAAAACTATCAAAGAGAAAATTGTTCCTGGAGTAGTTTCCAATAAAGTCTTTGTCCCGACGAAAAATACTAGATTTTGTAACATACCTGGATGTACAGTTTGTAATGGAATGTATAAATTAAAAGAAGAAGTAGAAAGCTAAATAACTGTACATAGATAAGTATCATAAGCATGTGATTTTTAATGTAAATTTTGTGATTATTGTTCAGCTGATAATAAACTAGTATAACTTCTTGAATAACATCACAAAAAAATGGTAAATATATATATTTTTTATAATGTTAAACATAATTAATTTATTTTATAACTATACTATTAAAATATATATATATATTTAAATATATAAGTTATTTATTTTTTCTATAATAGTAGGAACTTAAAACAGAAAGATAGTAATTACATACGAATTAATCGTATAATTTTTAATAAAATAATATCTTTCATAATGAGTAAAATATTAATGATATATAATATTAATGATAAATTTAAACAAAATATAAATAGTAATACTAATTTAGTAAATAAAAAAAATTAAATTTAAAATAATTTAAAAATAGAATAATAATAAATATATATGTATAACAAAATATTTAATTATATATATGTGTTTCCAAAAATAATATTTTCCAATAAATTTATAATTATACATAAAAATAATAATAATAATAACATATAAATATTATATATAAAAAATATATATCTTAATATATTTTTAATAATAATTAATTATTGTTAATAAACTATTTTTTTTTAAAAAATATTTTCTCTTTTATAATTTATTATTCTTTTTTTTAATAAAAATAAATTTTTTGATTTTAATTTTATTTATTTATAATTCCTTTAGAGATAATTATTATTTATTCTTATATTTGATTATTAATAATAAGTATAATTTTATTTTATAAAAATAATAGATAAATTTATAATATTTTTATTATAATTTATTTTAAAGTTAATAAACTATTTATAATAAAAATAAACGTTTATCATTATATCTAATATTTAAAATATGATATTTTAATTATTGTATTTTTTTATTATTCTATTTAATTAAAAACTATATTTTATATATTTAAAATATATATAATTATATATATTTATATTTTTATATATAATTATATATATTTATTCTTATTTTATTATATTATAATTTTTTTAATTCAATATTTATTTTCATTATATTATTAATTATAAATTTAATTTTGACTGTTAAATTTAATTTAATGTTTTAATTATAAATAAAATAAAAATAACTATTTTAAGTAAACATAAAACTTATATATATTTTTATTTTTTACCAAATATATAAAAAATAGCTTTAATTTGTTAATAATTATATTATTAAGTAAATATAATATATCATATATTACTTATTATTTTTTAAAGAAAAATAAAATAAAAATAAATGTTTAAAATTAAATCAAAAAAATATTATTTTTTAATAATTATATTATTTAACCCACAAATTTTTATTATTTATAAAATAAATTAAAAGTTTAAATTTAAAAATAAAAATTTTGTTCAAAAAAAAAAAATACCAATTAATTTTTATTATTTTTTTCACAAATTTAAAGAAGGTTTAAACAGATTAAAATTTCGAATTTCATAAATTTAAAAAATTATAAAAATATAAATAATTGAAAAAATATATAAGTAACAAAAAAAAAAATGACTATTGCAATTAATAAAATCGAAATTCAAAAAAAAACTAGAAGCTAATGTAAAAAAGCATAATCGGAAATAGTTTAAACGAAAACAAAAAATTCTTCTTAATTGATAAATTAATAATTGCTCTCAAAAATATAATAATTAGAAGAATAGATAAAATACTGGTAAAAAAGATGCGAAGAATGGAAAGATCTTGCTGAATAAATGAAAAAGCACTTAGAAAAAATTGAAAAGTAACACTAAGATGATTAGAAGCCTGAAGATACCTAAAAGATAGCTGAAGAAACCAAAAATAATTGCTAAGAAGCAGAAAAACGTATTGAAGTACTAGAATGTAGCAAGCGAAATAAAGTGATAAACTTAAAAATTAAAAAAACGAAAAATACAAGACTAAAAGAAAAAGAAGAAGCAACTAATAAAAGCAGAAGATAATTAATAACAATAATAAAAAAGAAAAAATGAAAAAAAAGAAAAATATTAAATATATAATTTTTTAAATATAAAAATATTATAAATAATGGTATATATTTTAGTATTTTTAAATAATATAATATAATTTTTTATTTTAAATTTATAATTTTTTATTTTTATAAATTTAATTAAATAAAAATATTAAAATTTAATAAAAAAAATATAAAAATTGAATATTATAATATAAAAATATAAACTACATTGAAA